CCCTTTGCCCCAGCAAAGTCTGGAGTGATACATCTGTGCTCCCAGTAACCAGCCCTGGGAGTGATGATACATCCCTCATTCAGTCTGGGGCTGTTTCCATTTCTGACCCTTATCTGAAAATACCTGAGCACCAGGAGCAAAACACAGTACATACACACTGCAGCACCAGAGCAACCCTCCACACTGGTTGCTACCTTCATGACTGCTCATGCTGGCCAGTGCCTTGCTAGCATGAATTTATAGACATGCCCTGCTCAGAGAAGGGGTGCTGCTCATGCCTCTTGTGCACTTACAGGTGGCTTCTACATCACACCACAGCTGGGACCTGTGCAGAAATCTTTCCAGTTGCACCACGGAGCAGTTTTGCCTTTCTGTTTATAGCTCCTCTGAGAGCCAGAAGAAAACCTCCTGGCTAAATTAAGTCTTTGATGTTTTCACCACATCCCTGCTAAGCAATGTTAGATGCCATTCTTCTAGGCAACACTCTGCTGTGTGTCTGGTAGTGGCTTGGGTACCTCCCTGTTCACAGAGGACACCACCTCCCCCTTCTTTTCCTTTTTGCAATGCAGACAGAGTCCCAAGGGCAAATTATTTGAGACCAGATGCTTCTGACCTTGGGTCCCCACACTTTGTTGCTGTCACTGGGCTGTACACAAACAAATGTTGGTTAAACTACATCAGGTCTTTCTTCCCTGAGTGGCAGGAGGAGAGATACTAACCATGGCCTCAGAGGAGACTGGCATTGGGTTGGTTTTGTAACCACATTATCAGGATGTAAGTTACTGGAGAGAGAGGGTGAAGAGGTCTGCTGGGAAGTGCTTTGTAGAGGTCATGTGGCAGAGAATTCTCTCCATTTCAGAAAGAGTGTTCTTAACAATTACAATAAGAACAGAACATTGTAGATCACGTTGCTGTTCAAACTGAAACCCACCAGAAAGGGAGGTGAGGTTATTGCACACTCCTATTCACCAAGCAAAGACAGAAAGAAAATTAAAAAAGACCTGTGGTTTTCCGGTTAGAAGGGCCCGTTTTACCTTCCTGTGTACAAGAGGTAAAGGGAGTCTCTGAATTACTCAAACCAGTCTCTAAAGGCAAGTATATATATATAAAACTGCCCCAAACATCAAGGCTAAAGCTGAAAACAAAAAGGTGTGGTGCAACCATGTAGGTGGTGAGTGAGCCCGTGACCTGCACTGCCACCGAGATGGCTCTGCTGTGTACACCTCTGGTGCCATGAGACTCAGCTTTGGACGACTGGGAAGGTACCAGGGCCTTCCTACAGTCCATTTCCTGGTGGTCCTCATGTCACACAGGTCTGCTGTCCACCAACAGCCCAGGTCTCTAGCAAAAACCAGGTCCAAAAACAGAGAGGAAGCAAACACAGAGAGCAGCCAGGACAAGTCCACTCAGAAGTCCACAAGTCTTCAGGACAAGTCCACATCCCATGCTGTTCCAATCACGTCCCCCTCCTGAACCAAGTACAATCTAACTCTGCACAATGTGTGAGTTGAAAGGATAATGATCAGATGCACTGCTCCTCATACCTGGACTATGATGGTGGGCAAGTGCCAAACAAAGTACTCAAATACAGAAAGCATTTGCTGCCTGGGAAGCAGGGGACAGGTTCTGCTGGGAGAGAAATCAAGCCAAGCTCTCAAATGATGCATTCTGTAATGCTTATCCTGTCAGAGGAGAGCCACAGGGACTAGCAGTCAGTGCCCTGGAGACACAGGGTTGCCTTCCCAGCTTTGGTGTGCTGGGTAAATCTGGGTAAGTTCATTTTGGAAAGCATTTTGCAGTCTACCGAACAAGAATGCTGAACAATGGGTGAGCTTTGTTGTAAAGCTCTGCTGTTGTCCTTCTCCAACGGAAAAAACGAGCACTGGGGAATGCAGCTTTTACAAGAGCAGCTCAATGCCGCTGCAGTGGAGCAGCAGGAGAGTACAGAACCAGAAGGCAGCAGCCAGGGTGGGTGCTCCCGAAGACGGTAAGAGTATTTTAGCCACTAGATGGCAAAGATCACCCGAAGTTGCCGCAGAGCTGCTGTTGCACAGGTTCTATCTGTTCCCTTTACTCCGGATTCAGGATCAATCCTGTTTCTGCCAGAAATGCATTGTGACAAATCCAATCTTTAGATGTCCAAGGGGGAGTCCTTTAACAAACACCACAGTGAATTTGTGTCCAACCCTGTTTTCAAGGGGGCATCTGCAGAGGGCTCCAGGTAGGGAGGACAGAACTCGTTCAGTATCCAGGAAGGTGAGACACCCTCACTTCTGATGCTTCGCAATAAAGCCCTTATCAATCCCATTAGAAAGTCAGACCCACCCATGAGAAATGGATAACAGATGCTGTACATACAAACCAGCACAGCCACTTGGATTAATTAAAACTCACTTGGATGTCAGCTACATGAGTTGCTTCCATTAAACCCCCCAAAGCATTGGAATGCTGCATTTCACTGATCTAATCAGAACCCATAGAAGCAACAAGGAGCTAATCTGTAGCACTGCTGCAGCAGCCCCAAATCCTAAGGGAATACCTGATGGATCCATGGATCAAAATTGGATTTATTTTTTCTCTCCCACACATCACTTGGCAAATAATGTATTTGGTACTCCCTTGAGCCCCATAAGGATGAGGTATCTAAGCCAATGATTATAGGAGATTATTACAGAAATAAGGAAGGAAATGGCTGAAGCCTTTTTCAATCTACTTATGGACTGTGGCCTTGTCCCAGTCAGCAGCTAGTGAACTGGCTGGACAAATCTTCTGTGCAAGGAGCAAAAGGCCAGAGCTTTCTGGAAAGACCATTTGAGACCATGCAGGGAGCAAACTGGTCCCTCTCCAGGTCAGAACCAGATGTGTTATTATACCAGATGACACACTTGTCCTCACAGAGAGCCAGCAAAGAGGAGAAAAGCTTCATGTATGGCTTATGGATCATGAGCTGCTCTGGTAGCTCAGGCGCCTGGAAAACAGAAAAGCAGGGAGTTGCTTTTGTCCTTGATACGTACTGAGAAAGTGCTGGTTTCAGTATGCACCATGGCAGTTCTGCCAGTCTCTGTATAGCCTGAATCACCAGCAGCACGTGGAAAAAAGCAGTCTTTGGGCACAAGAGATCAACACAGCATGCACAGAGTATGTGCAGATTGCAGGTGTCCTCTGCTTTTTAAATGGCACCATTTACCCGTTTCAGCATGGAGCTGTTGGCATATTCTCCACCTTCTATTGGAAAATCCACTCTAAAAAAAGCAATTTATTATTCCTTGAATATTTGTATTTTTTCAAAATAATCCATTAGAGCTTTGGGGTGAGCAAAAGCTCTCTCTGCTGCTCATATTCAACCTGCCTTTTAATTGCAAGCTTTTAACTAGCTTAGCTCGTTTCCTTTGTGTGGTGAGAGTTCTGTTTCCATCAATATTTCATATCAGGGTTTTGTTTCTTTTCCCCTCTAAAATGAGCCTTCAAAATGTTTAAGTATTATTAGGACAGTACTCAAAAGTACTCAATCCAGCACGTTTCCTGTCCTGTCTCAGGAGATTCACCTCAACCAATCTAGTTGACAGCTGAAAGAATCAAGCAGTTACCTCAATACTCATCTTCCCTGCCTGAAAATCTTCTCCTCATATTTCTATACCAACGTGGATTTGGCAGTGGACTGCAAAGCAGTATCACTGAGGAGAGGTCCAGCCTTTCCCATCTCCTGTGCAATTTTAGTTATGCCTGGCAAGGCAGCCCTGCTACTGGGAGAGCAAGCTTTGATTAGGAAACAGATGTCCAGCCTAAATTAACACAGGGCAATTAGGATCCTTCATGTGTCTCTTAAGGCGCCTGAAACGGCCCAGGAGATACAGAATTTCCCTACCCATCTGCAGCTGCACATGGCTGGGAAGTGATATGCATCCTCTTCTGGGCTCTCCTAGTAGCCAGGAAGACTGCAGGGGCTTCATTAACAGGCTGTTCCCTGGGTGCCCACCTGGCATAGACCAGGGCTCCATGGAGATCCCAGACCTGTTTCTTGAGGGAACACTCTGGGGCTTGAAGACACGCTTTCTAACCTGGGAAACCTCCAGCTCACACCACAGCCCTGGCTTCTGTGTATAGAAATGCCCTGCCAGCCTGCAGGCTCAGAGCTAGAGGAGGTTAAGCTGAAAATGCTCTTACAGGCTAGGCTCTTTCCCACCACTTCTCTCTGGTATCTCTGGTGCTTGCTTAAAATGGACCCTGGATTTCAAAAAGACCAGGACACCAAGCAATCTGTTGTTGCCCTTTCATGCCCTTCTGCAACTCTACATCGTAGAACCACTTATTTATGTAGGTCCATCTGGACGAGCAGCATAACATCTCCTTTTGCTCATCTCCGCGCTGTACTTCACAGCCCAGCACCGAGGCCTGATTTATTCATGCTGTGCTTCTGGGCTGCCGAAAATCCCCGGGAGCAGCAGGGTTTCAAAGCTTCCCCAGGCTCTCCGCACGGCTCGGGTGTGCTGAAGGAGAGCGAGCTGTGCCACACGGGGGTGCTCGGGAAGCGCCGTACGGAGGATGCTGCAGAGCGGAGCTGCTCTAGCTGCAAGGGTGACCGAGGAGGAGAATCTGCTGGTGCCGCATTCGACATAGAGGGTGGAGCTGGTTTTGCTCTACCCTTCAGACTAGTGCTCCAAACCCCAGTTCCCCTTGACCGTCTTTATTTCATGCAGTCGACTCGTAACCATGGGCAAGGTGCATGAATAGAGAAACGCCTGCTAACGTTCACAGCCACAAATAGAGTGGGATTAAAAAAGAGGGTGCACATGAGGAGTAGCACAATTCCTTGCTTCATGGAGCATTTTATCGCATTTCCTGATGGGAACAGATTGATGCTGTTGTGCTTGTTAACGTGGTCAACTTTTATTACAAGACTATTAAGAGTTTTATCCCCTATTTTGAGGGAAAGCTTTTTCTCTAGATTAACAGTCCTTAGAAGCCCATACTAATAATGTGCACTTGTTTCTGCCTCACAGCACACTGAAGGCAGCATTTGAGAGGCTCAAGCAACGTAAGTACTTACATCTTCCTTTCTGACCTGGGTAAAACAGGCACACAATGTGCTCACCCCCTCGGGGGTCTTTATCCTCTTTCCCCCCTCTATTTCCAACTTTCCTATCCCAGTCTATAGTGTGGAGAATGGAGGGAAAGGACTCACTGGGAGTCCTCCAAGGCTGGGCACTCAACCCACTCTCTGGTGGCAAAGAAAATGGCTTGTTCCTCACATTAGCTTTGTCTGGATGAGGTCACAAGATACCAGCTCTGTTCCCCCTGCTGCAAGCCCCCGGCCTTAAACCAGCACGCTCTCTAAATGTACCCAAGGCTGAACAAAACCCTTCCACACACAGAAAATGCAGCACCATCACAGCGCCGGGGCTATGGCACCTGCTGCTTAGATAAAATCACCCTTTGAAAGGCAGCTGGAGAATGAAGGTATTTTTAGAGCCTGGGTGGGGGAGCTCAATACTGCTGGAAATGGTGGGGTTCCATTTCAGGGGCACGAATGCTGACAAATGGAGAAGAGTTAGCGGCCACTTCAAACAGCATCAGCCAGGTGCTCTGACATTCAATCAATCCCTGCCAACCCTGTGGAATTCTCAGCTTGCAGCCTCCTCTAATGACACTTGTACAAGGCTGGGTGCAACTGGAAGCAGAGGCAATGACAATCCAGGGGATGGTGGTAGAGGCCAGGGCTCCTTCCCTCCCTCTGCCCCACAACATCTGGCCTCCAGCCCCAGAAGATGACTGGGTTAAACAGGGCTCCGCACTTGCCAAGGCTGCTCTGAGTGCGTGCTCCTCCTCTGCAGCAAGGAGTGTTGCCCATGCATTGTGCAGCCCTGAGAGGACCTGCAGTAAGCCTTATTGAGATTGTGGGAGCCCTCAGCAATGTCAGTGCATGCAGAAACATAGGGAAGCCATTTGTTACGGCTGCTTTGTACATTAACAAGTCATGCAGTAGCCACATCCCAGAAACATCTCCTGACAAACATGACTTCGTATTTCAAAACCTGTCCACTGACTGTATGTGAATTCTGATTTGCTTTAGAAATTGAAAGTGTTGGAAACTCTCATCTCCAGCTAGCAGTAATGCTGAAGGATGAACTGAAAGGAATAGAGGAGTTCCGAGAAAGACAGAAGGAACAAAGGAAAAAGGTGAGGAACTAGAGAAACGTCAAAACGGACTGGGTCAATAGTCCATGCTGATGGCCTGTCTCCAGCCAGGGGCTGTGAATACTGCCCAAGAGGATGAAATGTGTCCAGTGTGCCCTGCTCATGCCATACACCAGGCTGTGGCAGAAAATCTCCTTCTGTTCCCAGCTGGAAATAAAGCAGTGCTCTGAACTCAGGAGACAGAGGCTTTACTCACTTTTACTCTCTCGGGTGTAACTGCAGATACTATTATTATTCCTGCAAGACCATAATTCCTCCTTTGCTCTTTTTAATACCCTTGCTAATTGGGTTTCTTTGGTATGATCCTCCATCATCTCTAACGCGCACTAAGATGAAGGGGTAATGCAAACATTTAGAAACATAAAAGCAAATTACTATCATACTGAATGCAACACCAGTATATGCTCTATTACAAATACGTGGAATAAACAGCATCTAGTTGATGCTGTATAACAAAAATTTCAGTACCTTTAAGGCCATTTCATTCCCTATGGCTGTATCCAGCTCTAAGTCCCTTGAAAGAGTAGCTCCCAATAGAGACAACAGTGGTCACTTAACACCTTCTCTGGTTCCATGGGGTTGAAGACAAAGATGGGACAGTCACTTAACATTGAAAGCACTGATGGAGGAGTAAAATGTTCAGTTCTTGGCTAATTCTAAACAAATGAAAATGCATATGACCAATATCCAATGGCATAAAAGGGTTGCGTCTACAACCCTGACACCCAGAACTTGGAATAGCAAGGGGCTCCGAATATAAAAGCAGGTAAAACCAGTGCTGCTACTGAGATTTGAGGTCCACTGCAATCTGATGAAGCAAATAAGGCACGCAATTACAGACAGCAAGCACCTAGTTCATCATCGTTTGTACCCCCACCACTTTGCCATAGGATTTCCAAAGAGAGAGATTTTCTCGGGAGGTTGTGAATGCTCCATTCCTGGCAGTGTTCAAGGCCAGGTTGGATGAAGCCTTGGGTGGCATGGTGTAGTGTATGGTGTCCCTGCCCATGGCAGGAGGGTTGGAATTAGATGATCTTAAGGTCCTTTCCAACCCTAACTATTCTATGATTCTATGATTCTCTCCTACTGAAAACACAACTGGAAACAGAGAGACCTGGAAAAAACTGCTTTGGAAACTTAGGCAAGCTTTTTGCTCCATCCAGCATGTGGCTGTGGGAGAGTCAACATTAGACAGGATAGTCAGCATTTGTGGTAAGCTCCCAAAATCCTGTGATTTGTGTTTCACTGGAATTGCTCTCAGGACTGTGCTATTTAGCCCAACGAAGCAAGACTCTGGGTACCCCCACAGAGAGTTTTGCTTGAGCAGAATATAAAGGACCAAAAGTCCCAATGAGGAAACACATACCCTGCCAAACACGAGAATATCTCACTGCCACATAAGGCTGGGCATATCACAACTAAAGCCATAAAAGCGAGTTCAGCATAGTCCTTAGGGGACAACTGACCAGATGACGGTATGGAAATCAAACTGCATTGAGCATAACTTTGCCAGAAGCAAAGGAATATAAACTACACAGGGATTGTTTGTGTTTAAAATGAACAAGTACCCTTGCTCATGTGCTGAGACAGTGGTTTGGTCTGCAAAGATGTGGGATCAAACTCTTGCAACAGCAAAGGAACTCTGCTGGCGGAGCTGATGGGCACTGTGACTGGTGTTACACTGTTTAATCTCATTAAGAAAATAAAAGGAGGGGGGGAGGCAGAGAAAATGTAGATCTCCATTCTCTCTGCTATTAATGGCAACCACTGAAGCAGAATTATCTTGGATTATTGTTTCTACCTGGCACTTTGATGCTGTCAGTGTAACTTAGAAACTGTCCTGAGTAAAAGCAGAGTGAAGTCATTTTCCTCATCCTGCCACTAGAAGAGGGGGGAAAAAGGTCTGAGGCAAGAAATGCTAAATTCTGTGTGTTTCTTACAGTACGAGTCTGCCATGGAGCGCATGCAAAAGAGCAAATTGTCCCATTATAAGAAAACAATGGAGGTAAGCAAGGAGGTTTTGTGCAGGTTTCTCAATGCAAACAGGCCCTGGTTTGAGGCAGGGTGAATCTGCATCACTTGTACCTATAGTTAAAGAAAGGTCAACAGTGTGTGAGTGTGCAAGAGTGTGTGTGAGAGAGAGGCTGTGATTCCTGCTCCAAGGAGCAAGCTGATCTCTGCTGCACTCAGAGAGTCTCCAAAATAAGAGAGTCTCCAAAATAAGTATTCAGCAAGTCATTTGGAATGAGCAACGCCCCAGGTCCCACAGGATTTCATTCTTCCTAGGCAAGGATACTTACAGAAGCACATGGAATTTTTCAGTCTGTGTAAATACAATTTTAAAACCAGTGAGGGAGCCTTGTAAACAGGAGGAAAGCTCTCCAACTGGAACTGCAGGCAGCTGGGTTTGGTTTCCAATGGGCAATTGCCTCTAAAGAAAAGTAGTTGCAGATCTGCCAGTGCTACAGCTGGAACTGTGCTAACAATTTCAATTTAAACACAGTTTAAATTAGAGATTCTAAGTGAATCTCTAAGACACGTACGTCTTCTTGTGTAAAGAAGGATTTCTTTTGTTTCCAAGACTATGTGGTGGTGGCTTGGTCTCACAGCTTGGAGCAATGGGCAAGGGAACACACTGACTTCAGCACCTGATGCTCCAAGTCACACTACAGGAATGACAGTCCATCCCCACTGGCACCATGGGAATGTGTGCTCCTAAGTTTGTCTCTGCCCTGTAGCTCGGACAGATTCCTGATGCACTGATGGTGCTAGAGCTGCCTGCTTGTTCATGAGCACCCTTGCACAGAGCTGGCTGCAACTGTGCAAACCAAACAATTTCAGGGCTGCAGGAAAAGGACCCAATTGCTAGCCCAGTTCTTCAGTCCTATTTTTCTGTTGCTCCAACTTTGGCGCTGATTTTCCCCTCAGACTGCAAACCAGAAAATGCCTAGGATATCATTGGAGACAGTCCCTAACCCAGGCCCTCACACTTGGTTTCATTTCCATACAGTCAAAGAAGACCTATGAACAGAAGTGCAAGGAGGCGGACGAGGCCGAGCAGTCCTTTGAACGGACAAGTGCTTCAGGCAACCAGAAGCAAACAGAAAAGGTACCTCACAGGACAGTGTTATTTGGGGTTTATCTTTTCAAGGTACAACAGGATCCTATTGAACAACCCATTCTGTGGGCTGCCAGGGACTTCATTCCCTTCTAATTAGCCCTTTAAATCAAAATGAAAACAAAGCCCCTTCCCAAGGAGGTCTTCCTTCAGAAGCTTTGGTAACCCCAATCTTGTTCTGCAATAAGCCATGGGCTTTCAAAAAGGCTGGGGAGGGATTCAGCTATCCCATTAATGTATCCCAGGCTATAATCCAGTTGTTCTATGGATCCTGAAGGGAAACTGAAGGAGATTTTTCTTGGAAATTCTAATAAAGAAGGAACAAGTCAGAAGTGTGTCATGCGGTAGGATTTGCCTTTTAGCTGCTTACATTTAGTAGGCAGAGGATTTTACATTAAAATGCATATTTTTCCTCAACATTTTTCTCCTTATGGTTAGTTTAATTTCGATGAAATTTACAAACTCAAAAATAAATCACTGGAAATTAAGGCACTGCAGTCCTTCATTGCATCGTCTTGATACTTGTAGCTGACAATTCACTAACTTTTAATGGGAACATTTTACAGCGGAACAGATGGAGAAAACAAAATAAATGAACTCCCTTTGGCTCGATAAAAATCAGTGCAGTGTAAGCAAAAAGGATCAAAAATCATCTCAAGGAGCAGGGGGATGGAGGCTCTAAAAACAGCATCACAACTTCGCATTTTATTTCCAGCATTTGCTAATCTTTGATGAACAAAACCCTCCAGTTTAGCTGCAGAGAGGGGATGAAATCCTGGCCCTACTGAAATGACACCAGAACACTCAGCAGCTTCAATGGCATCAAAACCTGACCCAGCTCCTGTCATACAGAAGGATCCAGGGTGCTTCCTTGCCATGACTGCCACACACATGCCAGCACATTTGAAATGTGCAGAGGCATCCCACAAGAAACACTGTGGGCTGTTTAATTCTGTGCAGCACTTGCAAACAGTTTGGGCCAGGAAGCAGGTAAGAACGAAGCTCATGTTCCCAGATTACTACACATTTTCCAACCAGCTGTGGTGAGGAATATGGTCATAAGAACCCCTACCTGAGCCTTGTCTTGAAGGGCAGGATGGAAGAATGTATTACACTGATGTCTAGAGTCGTGTGTTAATGTACTGTCATCACCATCTGTGCAGAAAGAGCTGGGAGTACAGAGCTGTCAATAATAGCTGTAGTCCTGTTTGCTAAAAGCTGCAGGGTTTTAAAAAGGAAAAGTTCTACTTAGGGTGAATTTTGCTTTTAGGCTTCTGAGTTGGCCTGGGAAATGCTTTGGTATTTGTATTATAAGTATTTATAAGTATTATAAAGGCTGTATTCTTTTCATCTGTGTTAAATAAGTAGCTTTGGAAGATGAAGAATTTCAACTGCCATTTATTTCTGCTTGTAAGTATCTATTAGAAAAGCACATCAAATACTTAAGAAAAACCAATTCAGCCAACAGACACAAGATTCAGGCTGGATCATGCTGGCACCAAGCTCCTATGGCAGGGCTGTCTGCATGGAAAGATGTAAATTGCCAGATTTCCCTTGAAGTCAGCGGACCCATAGCTGCATCTGTGAAATGCTGGTCCCTGCCTCTCCATAGCACACATTCAACAGAACCACACATAAAGGCAGGACAGTGTTTGCAAGTTTGAGAAGCGGAAAGGGAGCAGGCAGCAAAAAACCGGGCCAGCAGCGAACCATATGGTCAGGAATTAACTTGGGGTCTTTCTTTTCCTGTTTCAGAGTCAGAACAAAGCCAAGCAATGCAGAGATGCAGCAAATGAAGCAGGTGATACTCTCTTTAAAACTGAACTAAGATTTCTCTCAGCAAAGCTCTGCCAGCATGCTGATTTTGACAGAGCACCATCCAAAGCATCCTGGCCGCCTCTGTTTGAAGTCAGGTTTCCCAAAGGCACCTACACACCAAGATTAATGAAGCAGCTTCTAAAGAACAGCAACCTGATAGTCCCCTGCATTCCCTTTCCTTTGTGGGAATGCAAGTCTCCTTCTTTCATTACAGAATTCGTAATTACCTCCTTTAGGGACTTCACCCAAGAAATAAAAGCTCCCTTAAGACAAGTTTGAAAGCACAGAAGAATGATACCCAAATTGCCCTCAGTCAGCCCAAACCAGATACGCAGTTCTGATACCAGGTTCCCTGTGCATGAGCATGGTAGCATTCTCCAGGCAAGAACACGGTGCATGTCCAAAAGGACAGGCCAACAGTCACCTGAGCTGGTTCATGAGTTCAGACTTGTCCCTCACTGCTCATGTAAGAGTTTACAGTAAAGCACGTTTTACCTGGCTGGCTCAGCACAGAGCAAGCCTAATGATGCTCAGTGCTCAAGCACTGATGCTCTTCATCTCCAATTTGCATGATCCCCACTGTGAAGTTTACAGGTGATCTGCAAACCACACAGAGAGAATCCTCTTCACTCTAGTATAAAGCTGCAAAGAAACCCCCAAATACCCTGTTGCCCACCAGTTTCAAACTCACACATTCTTGCAATACTCTAGCAAACCACAGGCCTAAAGTGCAAGACGCACAGCAAAGTCCCAACAGGAGGGAAAAGAAAAAGGCTGTATCATTTTTCTCCCCTAACTGTTGGATTTCTATTATGTGTGTGTGTGTGTTTACAGAGAATGTGTACAAACAGAACATTGAGCAGCTGGATAAGGTCAGGACAGAGTGGGAACAGGAACATATCAAAACCTGCCAGGTAAACATTGACTTTTGCAGTGATATATTTGTGTGCTCTGTATTTGATCTTACTTGCAGGTATCAGGCTTAGACCTGAGATTTCGCCCCACGGGTTTTGCTGTTTGCTCGATGTGGAGTCTCAGTAGATGTCTTTGCAAAAATACTGCAAAAGCTGGAGTTGATTTAGACACAGCTGCTAGCTGTCCTGCCTGCACTCCCCTTGCTTGCTCCAGGATATGTATGTAAATACAAAGGAGGGGAATCAGTGCAGAGGTGTGAGAAGCAGAGCAATATATGACCTGGTACAATCTATTGGTGCCAGTTTTCACCCAGACTAAACATAAGACTACAGTAGCCTTAGGAATGATCCATCACAGCCAAGACAAGGTTGTTTCTCAAGTAACTGCTTTGTGACAAAATGTGGTATCAGTAGAAAGTGCACAGAAATGTAGACAGGAAAATTCATTTTCAGTTTTAAAAGTGAATTTCAAAATAGAAACAAGAATTTAATTAATTAATTAAAAATTAACAAACAGATTCCTTTCAGAATCTTTATTTTGCACAGCACTTTGTATTCACCTGCCCTCTGCCATGGACTAATCTTTCAGTTGAAAGGTGGTGGTGGAGAAGTCTCTGTTCCCATTATGCTGAGGATGGCTGAAGAGAACTGTGCTTGCCTAGTAAGCTTTGCACAACAGTTTACAGGAACTGGCTGACATCCAAATCAGCCACATATTTGGTCATATTAATCCTTCAAGTACATTTGCCCATCTGCTGAAGTATGATTTTGCTATGTTTACTTGTTGCAGGCTTTACTTCCACATAAAATAAAATGCCAGGAGCATAGCTTGTCAGTTCTCTGCTTCCTCTTAAATATTCCCTATCTGGGAGGACTGGAAAGTCCCATGGCTGGCACAGCAGACTTCCCATAGAAATTTTGCCAAGCCTTAATTTTCCCCCTTCTTAAAAAGCCAGTGTACAAGTGAGCTGTTCCACAACCAAACACACTTCATTTCTCCACATGCCTAAGTTCTGAAGAGCCACAGAACTTGTGGCCTGCCTGCTGCTGAACTCATTCATAAAGGAAGGGCATCTTGGACATCTTTTAAAAGTTCTTGCAGGTACAAGAACCGAGAGATTTTTTTGAGGCATTTAAAGCTAGTAACTAGCACAAAAAGCAGCTTAAGATTTCCAACATCTGGCTTCATAGTGGAGACTGTGGAAGTGCTGAAGTCACTCAGGTCTCTAGCTGAGTGCTGCACACCCGTACTCCAAATTATTGGCTAGCAAGCGCAGCAATGGAATAGGGGGGGCAGTGCCATTATTCCTTGGAACGAGATGTCCAGGTTCACTGTCAGTGTACCGCACAAGCACGAGGGATGTGTCTAACACAACACCCAGCTCTGCTTTGCTAAGGACCTGACAAGCCCAGAGTCACTACGCTTCCCTCTTTGCTGAGCTGCATTTCCTGACAGGACATCATTTACCCGGAGAATTCCCAGTGAGCTCTCATGCTATTTCAGCAGCCCCTGCAGGGCCAGGCTGCAGAGATTGGCTGTTTGTATTCAGAATGGATATTGAAATACCCATTCTCCACCCTTCACTCAGGTAAAAGCTTTTTCTGCTTTCTCTCAGAAACTGATCCCAAGGCCAGCTTATTCCTCTGATGGGCTCCTTTTTCACTATTTAGTTTTTAGATGGCAAGATATTACATGGCAGGCAGCACACCCAACTAAATGTTCTGCTGAATACTGTACACATTTGTGGTGTTCTGGACATAATTACTAGCAAATGGAGATGGAAACAGATGGCTGGAAGCATCTGAGCGTTTCACACCTCTTAGAAACCAAAAAATTATGTTCTACTTATAGAAGTATAACTTAAAAAAAATATCAAACCGCCCTGATCTAAGTTCTTCAAGTAAGAGTTGATCTGCCTCTTCCCCCAGCTCAGTTCACACTTCCCTCTCTTCCCCCTTCATTCTTCCCAAGCTCTGCAACAACAGGAGAAAAATCAGGCAGATGAAGGCAGGGACTAAACTCTGAAGAACGAAAAATGCCTTCACTTTACCATGAAAAGAAACTTAGAAGTGAAGAGAGGCAATTCCAGAGAGTCTCACATAGTTTCAAAAGAGAAAAGTATGGAAAGCCATTTTAGAAGGCAGAGATGGATAGTTTTGGCTCTTCCTCTAACATAAATACCTTTTCATACTAGTACTCTACTGATCTGTTAAACATCAAGATTTCAGAGCAGACTGGACCTCAACTCTGAAATCCTTGGCAGCCAAATCCAGATCCTGATTCCTTTCCCCTGCTTTGTTTTCGTCTATAATACATAACTTTAATTTGGTGCAATCAATTCAAACAGCTTCTTGAGCACAAGGAAGTAGATGCAGCTTCTCCGGTAGCTGCAAAGACATCCTTTACAAAGGATCCTTCAGAACAGTTTGCAGACTTACCAGCTTGGCCCTGTTGTTCCCTGCAATGCAAATAACTAACTACCATGAGGCTACATCACATCCTCTCTTTGGCTTTAGGTCTTTCAGCTCCAGGAGTGTGACCGCATCACCATCCTCCGCAACTCACTGTGGGTTCACTGCAACCAGCTCTCCATGCAGTGTGTGAAGGATGATGAGGTAGGGGCACCTGCCAAGTAACTTTACATGCAGAGGAGGAAGAGGAGGAAAAGAGTGCTCTAGCAGTACAGCACTAGCTTGCCCTTCTCTGTGCCTGCTGACAGCAAACTGGCTGTTGTGCAGTTTCAGTGAGGGGGGGGTATTCTCAGTCTAGCTTGTTCCCTTCCAGATGTAAACGAGATATATGCCTGGATATAGACACTTACATGTCTCCTCCCCTCAGTTTGCTGGGTGTGCTTCCAGCTACCAGAATGCTCAGCTGAGTATATTTGGGCTGAGGCACAACTTTCAGGAAGGCATCCACTCATGGTCTCAAAATTGGAAGACAAAGAATATACTAGTTTTGACTCTGAATGGTTGTTTCCTGCTACTGATTTCTTTCTTGCATTGACAAGCCTTGGTCTGCTTTTGGCATCCTCTCTTAAAAGAATACCCAGAGCACAAATAAACAACTGTGTTTACAAGAATGTCTGTACAGGGGACAGGCTGAAGATCCATCCAGGTCTGACATGTACCAAGTATAAAATGTCTCTTAAGGGGAAAATGTTTAGAAGAGCATTACTCATTGATTGAATGTGAAATGTTACAAATTAAATTCAATTCTTGGGTTCTGTTTTGTAGCTGTATGAAGAGGTTCGGTTAAGCTTGGAGAACTGCGTTGTAGAGTCAGACATAGACTACTTCATTAAGACTAAAATGACAGGAACACAGCCTCCAGGTAATTATTCCTATTGGACTTGTCTGATGAGTCACCCCGGAGGTTGAGGCTGCAGTTGGTGCAGTACATGTCCTTTAGAGCTTGTGCTCCTGCTATTCATTGCCACCCGCCCATGCTCACTTCCTGCTCACTGTGCTGCCACTGCTCCCTGTGTGGCATGGTAAGTGGCATAGATGGATGAACCACTCAAAAATAACCCTCCAAAACTGGAAAAAAATGAAAGAGAAGTTGTTTTGGCTTTGCAACCGGGCTCATTTCACAGTACAGCTGAGCTGACGCCACTAAGGAGGTGGCAAACTGTCTTGCAGAGATAGCAACCTCAATTTCCTGCAATGGTGACAAGTCAGAGCCAACTTACCATGTAACTGCACCATGGTATCCCCTTGACAGAGATGCTGCCTCTTCATCTGCAGCACAGAAAAGACCAGACTTTCTATTTTGTTTTGTTCCACCTGCCCAATGGGCAATAACATCTTTTGTCCCCTCAGGAAGTTGTTCGTATAAAGGCAAGCCTCTAGTTGGGGGCAATGTTGAACGAACATTTGCATGCAGAAGCAATGCAAGGCTCACAAACTGCCCATTCAAGCCAAAGCAGCCTTTTCATTGACTTCAATGATCAAAACCTCTGGGCTGAAATGGAGATTGAGATACCAAGAGCTAAGAGCAGTTGTAAAATGAACACATGCTGCTCTAGGCTAGTTCGCCACATGCATCATGAGAAAGGAGGCTATCTAATGTTTCACATGGCCAGATACAAACCACAGCCTCTGACTTCAACAATACAAGATACTCACAGACTGAGTGGTGCTTGCACTTCTGTGCAGCTGCTGCAGTAAACAAAGATTCACAGCCTTTGTAAAAGGAGGAAAAAAAAGCCATATTTCATCTTTTCATCAGCTGACAACACCTATCCATGCTGAAAAGATCTCTTCCTCCATTGTTTTTAATCTATGCACAGATACTGGTTCACTTCCACTATCTGCTCTAACACCACACTGCTAGGTTAAAGAGGAAATGCCCTTAGTATGCCCTCAACAGTATCAACAGAGCTCACTCCTATTCGGAGTGGGGAATAAGCTATGCAGGCATAAGAAAACTTTATACTGATAAAACCCGTGCATGGCAGGAGTTGTATAGGCACAAACATCAGCAGGGTGTTTGACATCCCTGTTCCAGGGGATAGTTATCTCATACACGAGCATCTTACCCCCCTTTGATTTCACCACAGAGCTTGGAGCTGGCAGCAATTGCACCCCAGGAACTTCTTCAGCAGAGCTGGATGCTGCCACTAATTGAGCACTGAGCCTGGTTTTCGCTCAGCCTTTTCCATCATTACACCTGCAACGATTAAGAATTGGGATTGGGAGGAATATTTTAAATGAATATATTGATACTGGTGCACTGGATGCCATTTTGCTGCTATAGTTTATTTTTCCTTGCATTGGGGATTTAAATTCACTGATACAGGAGCATTTACCAAGGAAAAACTACATTTGCACTAGCAGAAGGGAGTACTGTGTCTTGCAACAGTGTGAAACAACTTCTGTATACTAAGAAATCTGTAATTCTCAGCTAGTTGGCTTTTTTCCTATGTGAGATTTCTCATTCTGCAGTTGCCTAGGCAATTTTCTGCAAAGAGCTCTTGGCTATGTCAGGACTCATTTCTAATAAGAAATAGGTGGGAAAAGCCCTTGTGAGCTTTCTGAAAAGCAAAGAAAGAACTGCCTTGCTTTTTTGATGGGTTTTGGGGTTTTTTGGGTTGCTTTTTTATTTTGCCACCTAGAAGGTGTCATGTTCAGGAAATAACATCCTTGTATCTCCATAGCTCTGGCTAATGAGTTTGCACAGTAGCACATGGTGACCCATTGGTCTGTTTTATTATTTGCAGAAGGCAGGAGAGAGCCCACGTGTGGTTTGCATTGTGTAGCAGACCTTCATCAGTCTTTCAGTTTCTTGATGTGATTGCTCATTCCCCTCTTCTACCTTATCTTACAATCATTATAGAGTAGGAACTACCAAGGTAACAACCTAGAAGGGCAATAGGAGACCCTTAAAATGCTCAGAAAGCTCACTAATTACCCTCAGTCTTATTTGCAGGGATTCTTCACACTGGTTGTACGTGCCTGCTCTACTTATGATCTTGGCTGACCCAATGTGAGAATGTCAACATAACCTTTAGCCCAAGTCCAATGCCAGAGTCTTAATTTGCTGGTATCAGAACTGAGATAATACGGTATCACAGACTTCACTCATGTTTGTTTGGCTTTAACACAGAGAAGGCAGAAAGGGCATGTGGCCAGCAGCTCTAAGCAACCACACTGGGAGCCATGAGGTGAAAAAGAAATAAATCCATGTGTAACTATTTTATTTGTAAAGCTAGACTTGGAAACGGTCTCAATTTCACCCTTAACACCACCACGGGGGAGAATGAAGGAGCTGTAACATAGCTGTGTTTAAGAACAAAACCCAAATATCTCTGGGTAAATGGCAAATCAGCTCTCAGAATGCTGACAAGGGAGATATGAAAGGTAGAGACACTCAAGATCAAGCACAGACCAGAAAATTGCTCATTACTGCTGCTGGCAATAAGGTTCAGAAATCTCCCAGCTCTGACAAAAACTCCTGCCTCAATACATTGAGAAAAAGAAAGAGAAACAAAAGACACTGCAGCCAATTGTCTCATGAACATGGTCTCAGGCTTACAGTCACCATGCTCCGCTCCCTTAAATCCTGAGCTTCGAGGCAACAGAAGAAACGGTCATGGAGGAAACTGCCTTCTGCATTAGGGTTAGCCACAGCTATTAGAATGGTTCTTCAGGACCTTGACTGTGCTTATCTCGACAACAAGCACACCTTTCTACCACAGACATATCTGCTTACAATCACTTGAATGGCTTCCGTCAAGTCCCCAGGTCCCCCTGTGCTGCTCCAGCCACATTATAGGCTAGTGCAGATAGGTGCTGGATTGCAGTTTGCTCCAGCAGCCCAATGGTTGCAACAGTGGGTTGCATTGCTGGGGGTGGCGGGGGGGCGGAAGTTCTGCTGATGTGTACATCTCATTTTTATTGCCCTGTTGCAGATGCAATAGGATATGAGAACTACTACAGCAAAGAAACAAACAGAAACAACAGCAGTCCAACCCAGTCTTGTGGGATGATGAAGAGGTGAGTGGCAAACTTCAGTTCCCAGAACAGGTATTTCTCTGTATGAACAGCAATGTTTGATGACAGGAAACAGGACCTGCAAAGTTATTACTTCCTTTACTGTGGCAACACATACATACCAATAAATATAACTTGACAGAAGATGTAAACCTGTTAAAACCAGTGAGAGTAATTTTGCCATAGCCTAGTGGGAAAAGAATCAGGGGATGTGTTCATAAAACAATTAGTTGGCCAGCAGTGGATAGCAGTCACTTATTTCCTCTTTCCTAGTGAGTCATGGCACATAGCAACAAAACCACTTTGTTCAAGGGAGGTTAAAGGTGAATCTTGCTGGGAGCAAGGGCTGGGGAGAGCTGTCTTTTTCGGCAATACCTCCTGGCTTACTGCACCGCCCAGCTGAGCAGAACAAAGAGCTGCTCTCTGTAGCTAGACCACAGGGAAAAGCACCAAGTGGAATAACTGTGATGATTAGGGAGGCAATTTCTCTTTTTCTGATCCATTTATGCTGGTAAATGCTGTCACATGGATGCAGTTATATCAGCAGAAGAGCATGGTCGATCTCTGGGTTTAAATATTTTATACCAAAATGACTAATTCACAGTGGGAATGGCATCACATTTAAAGTAGAAGAGCTTTATATTTTGACAAGCCTTATTACGCAGCAAAGACAAGAAGCAGGCTGTGATGTCCAATTTAAAGCATGGTTCAGGCTTGTTAGGGAGCTGATAAGTTTTACATACAGTGCTCTGTTTTACAGCTGGAAACCGGATCTTCTATAACAATGAGTTCTAATGTTGCATCCTATACAGTCACAGAAGACAATTGTACTGCTGTGGAGAATATAACTGCTCTGCATGGGCAAGTAGCCAAGAGAGGCTCAGCCTGAGTTTTGCAGAAACTGTTGAGCTTGGATGTCCATTTTCCATTAACACTGAGTATTTACCAGCTGAAAAATCAGACCCCTTAAATATGCCTAAAGCAAGCAATGCTATTTCTACCTATGGTTGAGAATCTTAACCCATTCCCTCACTTGGTCTCCAGTACCCAGCAGTGATATAGAACTAGGGACACATTAAATATAAATATCTTCTTTTTTCCTCCTTAGACTCAGTTTTCAGAAAGGCTGTTATGCAAGCTTTGGATTTTAAGTTTTACCAGTTTTCCTTAGAAATGGTAATCTCTTCTAAACAACTGATAATTCTCACCATATTAATGTTGTCAAATAATAGCAGTTTTGCACTTTGGTGCCTTCAGATCAACAATAAAATACTATGTGGTGCAGTTTATGCATAGTTTAGTGATGGCCGATGGTTCAGCATTCTGCTGCATTTTTAAAGTGTATTTTTAACTGAAGATAAATTTATCTGCAGCAGAAATGAAAATAGACAGCCACAGGAAGAGGTGAGATCTACCCAGTGCTGCAGCAGATGGAGGGAAGGTTGAGTCAGACAGCTGAGACGAAGGAATGCTCATACCCAGTCCTCTTCACTCATTTTGTCATTGGTTTCTCTTGGTTCTGCAGATTCTCTGGACTACTGCACGGAAGCAGCAAACACAACACGGAAAGTGCCACTCCTTCAGCCCCTCCTCTTGGTATGCCTCTTCAGGAAATAGGTTTACCAGATGTGTTTGTTTTAGATCACATTGCTAAATCAAGCTTTGACATGGAGCAGAAATGGCACAGCAGATATTCACATGTCAGCAGTCAAGAGTAAGAGAAGTCTGGAAATGAATCTAGCTTGGATGTGTGTTCAACAAATTTCCCAGTTTAAAGTGCCAAATAATCCATGTGATCTTCAAAACCACTGTCTAGGCAAGGGGGAACTGTATCTTCAGAACACTACAATCCATCTTAGGCAATAGTTTTCTCCTAAAGTAGAATACGCTACCTCTAAAAAGCCCATGAGAATACATAGTTTTTAACAGACCAGGTTCATGCCTTACGAAGGCAAATATCCACCTTGTTTCACAATTACACTGTCTTACTGTAACCATTGCAACCAGGCATCTAACATGATATTTAAAACATAGTACTTTCACTATGCAGAAAGTAATAGCTGATGACACTTTGAATAGTTCCATCTAAACCCAAACCATTTTAACTGTGATTCTTGCTTAAAGAAAACAAAAATCTGTTTTGGAACAGTCTTACAAACACCCCATATCAATTTCCTTTGTCAGACCTGCCTGCTTGGGCACCCAGAAATGAAGCCCACACTATCTTAACTTGTTGCATTTGGTGCTCAGCCAGGGGAGACTCTCCAGTGCTACCAAACACCAGCTGCACCTGCACATGGTAGAGCAATGCTGTGCTGAGCAGTTGAGGGTAGTCACTCCTGAATTCCCTTAGGCTAGGGACACAAGAGGAGAGCATTCCCAGGGCAAGGCCCTCAGGAATGGCAAACTCCCTCTGTATTCATCTTTTTCAACTGCTCCCATGCTTGCCTTTCAATATCTAGGAAGTCCAGGAGCTGACAGTGCTCCTCAGAGCAGGACAACTAACCCAGGGATAGAAAAGGGGAAAGTACAAGCAGGTTGGATGCTGTGTGCACTGTCAGAGCGTTATCATCCCACAAAGGAGTTGCTGTGGGGAAACTGGGCTCACCCCAGTGGCAGGGGAAGCTCCCAGGCAGATGCTGGGAGGAAATAAGAGGTTGCCCTAATTATGACAAGCTGGATTAAAGCAACATCTGCCAAGAAAGTGACGTCAGTGACAAACAGCTATCTGGGAGCTATGTAAGCTACCAGTAAACGTCTGCTCACCCATCGGCACAGCCTTTGCCATTTTTCTCTAGGGAAAAAGAAAAGCCCTGTGTGAGTCACTGAACTGCCAGAATTTGATCCCACCAGCTGCAACCATTTTAAACCACTTTAATCACAGCAGGTCCCTCTCTGGACATTGTGCTTCTGCAGGATAAACATCTTCCCCAACCTGGATGAGGCTAAAGCTAGCGTCTGACCTCCCACTAAATCCAAAGGGTGTACTGTCATCTAATCAATGGGACACAGTTTGTGTGTAGGACTTTAGGTACAGTTCACAGCAGCTTTCCTATACATGTACATCTCCAGAGAGAGAGAGAACAGACACCCTTGTATTTGTGAACTCTTGCATATGATCCCATGCATTTATAAGCAACTGATCTCTTTGTTTCTGTGGGTAGGTTTTACCTTTGTCTTTTTTTCCCCCCTCTAGCAGAGAAACCAGATGGGGTCTATGCATCCATTTTTGAAAATCAACAAGCTAGAATCACAGCATCACAGGACTACAGAGTACTTTATGACTACACAGCCCAGGTAACGAAAGGCTTCAAAATGCGTATCTCACAGCATCAGACTTAAAATAGATGATGTTGATCTGATGTGGAACATCCTGAAAGTGTTGATTCTGTTTAGGAGGTGTTATCTTCACTTTGCAGGCAGGGACACTTGGAGGATTATTGGTCAAGGTTACACGCAGAAGCCAGGAAACCCAAGTGCCAGTTCCTGGCACACATCACTAGATGATGCTGCCTCAAGATGAAACAATAAGACTTTTTGATTACACATTAGTGCAATCACCCCTAAATTAGTGCTGAACTGTTACAGCCTCCTTCTAGAGATACAGGAGACCACAAACACAAGGAAAATGTTATTTTTTAGGGAGTGATGACTAAGTACAGAGTACTGTGCATTTGGAACTTCCATCTCTTGTGAAATGTTTTCCTAGGGAAAAGGGCTACAGATTCCTTACGTGAGAACATGTGAGAGATGCTTGCCTAGGAACTCCATTTGATTTCACTTACCACCTGGAGAGTCCTGCTCCAGTTTAACGCACTGGCTCTCCATGCTGGAGAAGACTGAATCCCCATAAAGGACACACTTTCCCTGTACATCCATGTTGCAATTTGCAGAATCAGAGTGGATACGGTCCATGTACCAAAAGGTTACTATACAGAGCAACCTGCATCATTAATGGGGATATTGAACTTGCACTGGCTCCAGACCTATCTAGGCATAATACTGTTAGTAAAAGGTTATAAATGGGCTGGTGATGAGTATTTTTTTATTCAGATGGACTCCAGAACCTCTCGGATTCTTGTTAAATCATTACCCCCCAATGGAACTTTGACAGTTTAATTACATGTCAGTTTAAAGGTTCATTTTATTTGCTTTAGATCAGCAGAAGGAGCAGCAGCCAGGAGGTCTTGAGGGAGATCCCCACTCTAAGGGACCTGCCATCAACAGCCAACATGGAAGAAATGCTGGCATGTGACAAAATAGGCAGCCAGATGAAACAGTGAAAGGGCTGGAAAGGAGAGCTTTCTCTTGGGTACAGCAGCACTCTGACACCCTTTATATCTTTGTTTTGCTTTGTTTTAAACACTCTTTTACTATTTGCCTGAAATGTCATGCAAGCACAGCTGAAAGTACCTCCCGAGGAGACTGCTGCATCTCTCTGTCAGATCCTTACTCCAGGAGTTGCCTTAAAAATATGACACACAGAGATTTTCCCTGCTGAGAAAAGTGCCTGTTACTACTTTCAGTATAACGTATATGGAGGCCTCTCAGTTTTGAGTCTGTTCGTACCTACTCAGGTACATTAAATTTAGATTTAGCTGATGTGACAAATGTATCTGGAAGCCTCTCTTACTCTGTTTTCTATTTTACTACACTGCAGGTAGCAAAGTGGTTTCCTATGGAAAATAGGACAGACCCACTGAAGGGACTGAGAGCTGCCTGAGAGCTCAGAGACAGCTTCCTCCATTGGCCTTGCAGATAAAAGTTACCTAGCTCAGGAAAAGTCACTGGACCTCCTCTGGTCACTGCTGTTCCGTATTAAAAGAACCGAGAGACCTATTTAAGGCCTGGATTAGCAGAGACACTGTTGTCATCTCCCTTGGGAATTAACCTGTGCACTGTTTTATTTAGCAGCACCTGCAGACTACACAAGGGTCATGGTTAGCTGGTTCAGGACAGCTGTATTTAACCCCTTCCAGCCTTCCCCAATGATACAACAGTCAAGCTGCTCCCACAGAGGGTGGAGAAATTTGAGGACAGTAAGGAAACAACCACCTCATCAAGTGTTTAATCCCCTCAGTGACTGGTATTTCAGGCTCTTTCCCAACCAGAAGGGCAGTGGCAGACTTTTGATGAAAGGCAGGGTAAAAAAGCCCAAACCCAAATGACCAGGCACATGCTTGGTCCCTCCTGTGCTCTCAGGCTAATAACCACATTGTCGTTCTGGTCTCCTTTCAGAACATGGATGAGCTGGACATCAGTGAAGGAGACATCGTAGTTGTCATTGAAGAAAATGAGGATGGCTGGTGGACAGCAGAACGGAATGGGCAGCGAGGCTTTGTGCCAGGCTCTTATCTGGAAAAGCTTTGATGAAAAGAAGCCCCAGTCCTCAGACTTCAAAAACACTCTATTACTGAAAACAAACAGCACACAAGGTCACTCCAGCTGACCAAGGGCAACCCATAATACTGTCTTCTACAATTACCATTCAGGAAATAATAACCAACTGACCATGCTTTCCTCTTCCTTCCTCCTGCCCCATGCCAGCACCTCTTGACCTACACTGTCTGCAAAACCCAATTAGGAGTTCTGGTCCTTACCACAGCTCTTCCTCCCATCAGCACGCTGTGCTGCCATCAGTGTTGCAAAGCTTCATGAATCCGGGAGGAAAATCCTGCCCAGAACTGAACTGCACTAAAGGAAAAAGACCCAGGAAGCAACTGCTACGTCTCCCGGATGGAGGACCACCTCCAGCCAGCCTGTGAGCCACCCTCATGGTCACAGCAGCCACGTTCTCTGCCATGGATCCCTTCCTCTCACTGCACAGCCTATACACATCAGTACCAGTACTACACAAGGCACTCCTGATCACGACCATCTCCTAACACAATGAAATCCATGCTACCCATGCCTCTAATTTGCACTGGATTCTGGGGCAGCAAAATGAGGGCAGATTATGAGTCCAAGGCCTGCTTTTGCCTTGGTTGGATGGTTTCCCTGACACTTCCCTGGGATTTCTCATGTTTAAAGAGCAAGAAAAACAGCAAAGAAGCAAAGCAAAGTTCTCCTTTCAACACCTCTGTCCACCTGGCTGATGCTTCCGCATCTATCTCCAGCCTCTGGGATTGCTGACATGTCCTGGTTCCTTTCCAGGCACTTTTAATGCGCTAGATCTTCAACAAACCCTCTTCAGAGGAGTCACACTGTGCAGGTTAACTGTCTTGCACAGATTTCAGCTCTAGCAGTCTTTCTAGTTTAGTATTTAAGAACGCTTCCAGCTGCCACTGTACTTCCCAAGGGATCAATAGGCAGTTTCTGCCACTTCTCCCTCTTCAGTATGCCGAGATGGTTAGAATGAAAAAATAAAATAGAAGATGTAACCTGAAGCAGAGCACACTGTTTCTGGGGCAGAATGACCTTGTTTGCCAAGGTTTCAGCTCTCAAAACTGAACCAACGCAATGAAGGTTAATCAAATTGCTACCCAGAAAGCACGGAGCAGGGAGGAACTGTTAGCTAAGACACAGCAGGAAAAACAAAGAGAACTCTACACAGAAGAAAGAGCCATAATGGTCAATACAATTATTCCTTAAATGAGACAGAATGAAGGTCAGAGGCACTTGTAGTACTTTGTTCTAATTTCTTGTTTCAAGAATGGTATTCAAGGTGCTGCAAGCCCTTTTTCTCAAGTTCCTTGCAGTCCTTTGCACAGGCACACTTGTCCTTCGCACACTTCCCCAAGTCATCATGCATCAGTGCTGAAGGGCTCTTAGTACCTCACATTAGCAGAGGCTCAGGGAACTGCAGGAATTTGAATGGCATTTAAGGCACTAGGGTATATGAACAGTAGTGCTCCTTTCTGGCTGAAGGTGTTAATGACAGGTTTCTGTGACCACATCTGAACTGAACAGTGATGAAAAGATGGACCACAATAACCTGCAGCTAGGCCACCACAGTGTAAATGCTGCTATCAGAGACAACTACCACATTGCTCCTTATGTACAGCATGAAAGAAAACCTAAAGCATGGGATTTAATATATTGGCTTCTTCAACACTCAGCCTTCCAGAGAACTGTAATAAACCAATGAATACTGAAATAAATTTAGGTGGATATTTTGCAGATTATGAGATGCATCTCCTCTAATTTATGTATGACACAGGGGTTTTGCTAAGATTCTGGGGGCCCTGACAGCCTCATAGAAGCCACTGTAATGCCCACTTCTGGTTACCCTGAAATCCTGTTACAGATCGTCTTTGCTAACATGTACCATTGGTCTACATCCCTGACAAACAGTGGAATGGTGCCTGCTGCTTCTACCCCATCAAACCTTCGTTTTTTTTGCCGTTAAACTCAGGAACCTGGTTTTCTTTCTACCTATCTCTTCTTTTGTCAGGTAAATATTGTTGTAAGTGCAAAAGGCTATAGATTCTTCAAAATCTACCCAGCAACACAGCATTCGGATCCCACATGCTAACTCCACACTGTTCCGGAAAAGGAAAAGCAGGAGCAATATCTCTCATTACTCCTCTGCCTTACACTGCAGTGTGGCTGATAAGTAATTACCAAGCCATATCTATGCAGTTAGCCCTATCAGTGTGGCAGCACTTGTCAGAAATAGAACAGAGATACCAAGAAATACCCACACCCCCTGAGCACACCCACAGTTTAGGTGTCACCCACCCTCCCCATCAACAGGAAAAGCAGGAAGGTCAAAAGTAGGTTACTGCCCTAATAATACTGCTTTCAATGTTTCCTCTCCAGCTTGGTAACACTTGGGCAACAAAACTGACCCCTTCAAGTACTCATTTAATTTTCAGCTAAGATGGGAAACTGAAATGGGCCCTTTCCAGTGGAAGGCATTCTTGAGCTGAAGTCTAACATTTTTGGTTGAAAACCTTTTTGGATAACACTTCTGGTGAGCCTCCCCTTTGATTGTGACTGCCAGTTTTTGGCAAGGTGGTGCCAGTCAACATATGCAAACAAAACAACAGTGGCAAAGATGTGTGTTTGTCAAGTTAACTCTTATTTCAGAGCCCATTCACAATAAGCAAACTACCTTTTAACTGACACTGGCAGTGCTCTGGCTCTGGGTGGGATCACACACAAGCTCTTCCCAGACTAGGCATCATCTGTCCATTACATGCGAGTGACGAGAAAGATTTGGACTCATTTCCCTCATGGTCAACAACAGAACAGGAAGTAACTGGGGTTGACACCTGCTGTTCTTTGAGATGGATTTTGGATTGAAGGAACATGACCATAAGATTGATATGAAAAAGTGTGGTGGTAATCTGTTCTATTATTTCTTTAACCACAACAAGAATTCAAAGATTGGAAGTAGGCAATTTGCCCAACACAGATACGTATATTATTCTCCTTCACCATATAGAGAACAGGAAAACCTTCCTAAAAACAACATTTAACCAAAGACAACCATATATACTTAGGAAATGTCTACAAATGCAGCATGAGGCCCAGAATGCATCTCAGCTCCTGTATAAGGCATTAAGAGCCCACAAGCCAGTAGTAAAACTTGGTCAAAGTAGTGTCAGACCAGAAACAGAGAGATCCAGGAGACCCAGCCTGAGGCCAGCCAATGCAGACAGTGCTTTACTACAAAGAATGGACCTCCTGCCAAGCTCACAGGTCCATTGCTACAGACAGCAAGCTTCCTTCTAGCATTTATTACAACTAGTCATCTAAAAGGAAGAAATCAACCTCTTTACAGCTGGGCAGTCAGCAACAGCAGGAGCACAGTGGCTGTTCAAGGTTTGAAGGGCTTGCCATCTCCTTGAGGACCCTGGCTTGAGGTCTGCCTTACAAACAACCCAGACATACTTCAGCCAAAGTGTTGACAGATCACACACACAAGCCATAACCAGCAGCAACTCTTACCTTGGATTCCTTCACGTCCTGTTTCTTCAAGAGGCACATTCGATGTCTGAATCTCTTTTCCAGAGGTAATTTTCTAGGCAAAGATTCCCAGTTGCAGCTCAGACCTCACTGATTACTGAGTGCAGTTAAATGGAAGCACATGGATGCCAAGAGAAGATTCATTACAAGCCACATCAGGTTGGAGCCTCGTTGGGCATTAAGAAACATCTAACCTAAAAACTGGTGGATAACAAATACCCCTTTTTCTCTGGAACTATGTAACCTCTTGGCTGTATCACTGCTAGCAGGCTGAACTGTGCAGGCTCAGAGAACCCAGGGGGCTCTACATCAGTACTATACAGAGTCTGCCGCACAGAAAAGGTCACTGTTAACCTTCAGTGTGAACGAGCAACAACCCTGCACAGTACAGGACAAACTGCAAAGGCCTGAAGAGCAACCTCTGCTGCCCAAGACCACCTCTTTTCCCTTGCTTTGTTCTCTGACTTGCAAAGGCTGGGGCCTTGAAAGCAAGGAGTTATCAGCCACACAGCTTCACTTGTCCTCAATTACTAGTGAGCAAGGAGAACAGGAAGGTGCCCTTAGACTTCATGTCTCCTTGCTGCCACAGGGCTATGGGCACAATCAAGTGCTCAAGCTCAGAAAGTAAAGCAGAGCTGGCTGTTAAAAGACAAACCTAAAAGCCTGCATTAGGATCAGTCACTACCATTCACCAGCTTCCTAAATTAATGACAGTATGCATCACAGGTGTTTCTACAGTGCAGCTGGGACGTGTTGGGCATGCTCACTGTAGCTGAGGTTTAAATGAGATACAATAGCTGGGGGTTTGCTCCTCAGGAAGAGGAAAGAGACCAAGGACTGATGCTATGTCACACTGGGTTTCTGGAAAGCAAACAGCTGCCAGGGGCCTGCAGGGCCTTATGGATTGGTTTTTGTAGAGGAAAGGATACTTGTGTGGAGTAATTAGATTTTGAAGAGGAAAAGGAATTAGCATCCTACCCGTGACGAGGTTATTAACAACATGGCAACACCCCATCTACCGCAAGAAAGCAGAGAGGGCAAAGAAGTTTTAGTCTGTTAGTCATTACATATTCTTTGTTAGCAATTACCTGATTTCAGTGGGCAGCTTACATTTTGGATGAGGGAGGCTCAGAGCCAGTTATCTCCAGGTTTGTGCACTCCTGGACCATTCACAGTACTAATTTGATCTGTTTCTAGAATGGCCAGATAGTATTTCCATCAAATTAGCCAGTGCACATGGTAGAGTGTACTTCTACCAGCTGCTAAAGGGCAGCTGACACCTGATCTGGCACAAAGCTGCTTGGTGCAACATTAAGAGGACATTTACAGCCTTTCACTGCTGTGTGCCACGTGGCTGCAGCAATGCTGTCTGACACAAGGGCCCAAAAGGCAGATTTAACTGTGGTGGTGTATTCTGACTGAAAGCACAGACTAGATCTTGCTTTTAGTTATAAAACTCTAATAGAGAGAAATCAGACTCAACATCCACAACCCTTCTTCAAGGAAAGACAAAATCGTCCAAAAGCACTGAGTGAATGGAATTGGGTTTACTGGTTTATAGCCAGGTGTGTCCCCATATCACCTTGAGGGTAAGGAGGGTACACAAACAACGGGGGGAGAACGTGCACGTGTGGTGGTGAAGAGGAAACAGCTATACTACGAGGTTCTTTGAAATCAGAAGGAATTTTACTTAGCAGCTCTAAAAGAGCCAGTGTAGTACAGATTACATAAACCAGGATGTATAATCCGAGTTATGCTGCCTTTACCGTAATTCAACTAATCCCCCAAACCAAGGGCAGACATATAGAGAAGTAACCAGTGTGTTAACTGTTACAATACTGAATGAACTGTAACTGCATCAGTGATGCTTTGACTTAAATCCTCTTTTGACTGAAATTCTGGCATTTGAGGCACCCCTGCCCCAGGGAAAATGGCCACACAGTACAGCTAAAGAAATTCCAGCCTAAACTTGAGTGAAATGTCCCGAGTGTGGGATTCCATGCTTAGATTGTTCAAGGAGCCTAGGATAAACCCTTTAACGAAGCAGTGGCTGACTTTGTGAAGCAAAGGTATATATGACTTTGGAGAAGTCATACCTGATACTTCACTTCCCATTCATCATG